GAATTTGTTTAGGCCCCGTGATACGTGCATGTCTGGATAATTAACTATAAAACTTTAATAAAGGAAAGTCATCAAGAACCAAGGGCAAATTTTGAAAGCATGTGTCGCAACTTGAAATAGCTGACACCTTGAGCTGTCCTCCTGAAATAAATGGGATAGCCTGAGGAATGAGTAAACACCATACCAGGTTAATTGTATAAAAATTTTGTCCTCTTGGACTTCAGAAAATATTTTCCTCTATGCGGGTGTATAAATATACAAACACCGCGCTCTCCTGCGCTGAATTGCCCTTGCTGACCATGGTTGTGGAATGAGAGGTGAGGGGGTACAGCCCTCCGAAAATCTCCAGGCTGCTCAGCTCCCTGGATGGACAGAGAGATGGACAGGGATGGACAGTCAGCTCCAGGGATGGACAGTAACACACCAATTTACATATTAGCTGATATAACTCGTACAGTTTTTAAAGACAAGGTTCTCCGTGCCAGGCTGTGACCATCCTGCTGGGAACAGTCGCTGGGACAAGAGGCAGCTGATGGCAGCAGGGCTGTGGGATGAAGACACTCAGTTCCAAGTGCTGGGCACGGCTCCTGGCCAGTGCTGTTTTTTACTCTTGGTCTGGTAACTCCCAGGAGTAAGAAACTCACAGGAGGAAATCGTGCCCTTTAAAGGCTGTCCTCAGGACACCTCTGCTGCCTGCCTTTGGAGAACCCCAAAATCTCTTTCTCTTCCAGTCGGGCTTGCGGCACAGCCTGGACGAGCTCTGTGTGGTTATGGAGGCGGTGGTTCAGCCTGACCCGGGGACGAAGGAGGAGGCTTCATGTGAAGATTCCCCTCTTTTATCCAGTGGCGTGAACCTAAATAAAAAACCTGTGACGTGCAATGAGATGCTCCGCCTCGTTCCCGAGGGCCCACCGGAGGTAATGAGAAATATCCTTTCCTGATGGACAGAGGCACCGAGTTGCCTTCCCAGGCCCCACGACTCCAAAACTCATCATGGGCAACACCTCCTTTTTCACCAGTAGAAGCACCTGGAAGCCTGGAGGTCCACACACACCTTCTCCAGCCCTGACACTGCTGGGCGGTTAATACTTAATGGGCAGCTAGTGCTTAATCCTTGAGGAATTCATGGATTGGGCTTTTCCTTGCTGGTGGCTGGGGATCCCTGTTGGAAGACAACCTCTACCCAGGGTCCGTACAGGGACCCAGCGCCTCTGTCTGGGCTGGGGATGAGGCATGGATGTGCTCAGCCTTTGTCTCCTCCAGGGAACGTGCCTTCAAAGACTTGTGCCATGCTGAGTAACAAATGTGTCCTGATTCCCGCTCAGCAAGAAGCTTCAAAAGGGATGATTTTGATTTATTTTACAGTTTTCTGCTCACTGTTACTAAGCGAATTCGGTGCAGGTGATGTCCCTGCAAATTGAAGCTCTCTGGCTGTCTACCGGCAAAAAAACGCACGAGGAGGCAGTGACAGAGCAGGCAGGTCCCCAAGCAGCCCGCCTGCCCGGCCACCCACTGGCGAGGGGTCATTTCATGTCACTCCCCCGTGGGGACGGTGTGCCAGCACTGCTGACCAGAAGGGGATCTGGGACAGTTATATATACCATTGGCTTCTGTCCTGTTTCTTTCAGACAAGGACAGTCCTTGAATGAGGGAGCAAATGGTATTTAATGTATCACCCACTCTTCCCGCAGGTAGATGCTCTGCTCTGACACCTCTCTTGCTCGTTCCAGGTGATGGCCCAGCAGCTCCTGGTGATCTTCAGCGGATGCTATGTCCGGCTCCTGGTCACCGGCCGGCTCCCTCGGGCCCTGGCAGGAGGGCACCTGGAGCACAGCAGTGTGCCCTGTCTTTGCCAGTTCATTGAGACCACCGCACTCAACACACGCCAGAGCTGGGTCATGGGCAGGTGACTGGAGGGGCTGGAGAACACTGAAATAAACACAACGGTGTGAAGAAGCCGTGGGGCAGAGGAGAGGGCTGTAATCGTTCATCCTGGGCTTACTGGATGAACGAGTGGAAATGTGACTCTAATAAAACATGCAAGACACTCACCGGAAAGCTGCTTACCTTTGAGACCTTCTGCCTGCCCATCGGCTTGGTGCGAAGGAGCTGCTCTGGGGGTCAGAAACAACCCAGGGGCAGCCTGGAGCTCCCTTGGGAAATTTCCCATTGCTCTTATTTGGGGGCCTCGAAGAGCCATGGGGAATGCCTCTAGGTGCCAGCCCCATGCCTTCGAGGTACCTGGGTTTTTTTTAACACAAGGAAAAGAGGGAAAATCTGTGCATAGCCGTGTTGCAAATGTGATGTTTGCTCTGGATTATGATTGTGTCACGTAGTCAGGGATGGTGAGCTTTGTCCTGTGACAGACATGGACAATGTGTCAGCTGATGACTTGGCAAATTTTCCACTTAAGAACTAGCTCGGGAGGGTGCTGGGTACCTGCTGCTTCTGTCTCCCCTGGGAGGATGGTGATGGACATCAAGATGGTCCGTGGGATTAAACCTTAGAGAAGGCGCTGGGCACTGGGTAGGGCATCCTGGAGCACGGCTCTTTTCAAACTTCCCTTTCTGTTCCATTTTGGGACAGGCTGATTTCCTTTGATGATTTTCCTTTTCTCCTTTCTCCCCACTGCGTTTGCACGCAGCATACACACAGGAGCCAGTGGGGAGCAGGAGACTTCAGCATTTGTGTGGAGTCCACGAGGGAAGGGGAAAGGAAGCCCTATAAGCCTACAAGAGGTTGTGTGCTCGGGTGGTGCCCGTGAAGGGAGAACTGCTGGTGTCCTTCTCTGTCCCCAGAGCCAGGCATTGCCATGAAATTCAGCTGACTGCATGCACTGATGTTTACCTGACCACCGAACCACACGGTTTGGTGGTGATAGCTGTCCTAAGGAGTGGCAATGGTCAGAATAAAGGGTCCTAAGGTCTGTGTTTTCCAGCCTTGCTGTGGCTGAGTGTCCACGGGAGATTCAGGTCTGTTCTCTGCCTTCCAGCCTGCCCTTCCTCCCTCCCTCCCCATCTCCTGCAGAGCCCTGCAGCCCCCCAGGCAGGGCTGGTGCCTCCTCCACCTTAACGAAGCTCAATATGGGACACCTGCCCTGCACAAAGCCAGGAGGGTTTTAAAATTAATGTCACTAGTTTGTGCACATCCCTTCGTTGTCTACATCCCATCCTAGTGCCGAGCATCTCCCCCTCATGCGATATCGTACCAGAAAAGTTCTGGTATCAAAAGCCAAACCGTTGCTCAGGGCAGCAGCAAGAGGCTGAGCCCTGGAGACGCAGGAGCTTACAACAGGCTCTCCCCAGGGGTGCAGGATGCCTCTGCTCCCTCCCCTGTTGTTTCTCTCACGAGCAATGGTGAGACAAGATCCCTCTCTTCCTACACAAGCAGCAAGGCGAGCCTCAGCAGCGAGCCCCAGTGCTACTGATGTACGATGCAAAGCATCAGTCTGTTCAAACACCGTAATGACAGCAAACCCATTCCAGGAGAAAGACCACCATGCTCCCAACCAGCCTCTGTTCATCCATCTTTATTTCTGGTTCAGCTTGGGCTGTCACAGGGATGGGTCGGGCAGTTTCCTCCCCACACGTGTGGAGTTTGCGATTCTGCCGTCATTGCTCTCTGCAACGGTGCGGGGTTTGCTGGAGGGGGGATCCAGCTGTGATCCCTGCAGCCCTCTGCTCTCTGGGTGCTGCGCATCACGCCGGGGTGCTGACCGCCCAGGAAGGACAGCGTCACCAGCTTACTGGGCACGGGGAAGGCAATTGTACAAAACATCATGGGATTTCCACAGACCTAAGCTCTAAGACTCCCTACTCCAGCTCAGGAACTGATTTTACCTTCATGGAGATGGTTTGAATGTATACCAATGTCATTGGGAGCACAATTGAATTTTACAGTGTAAAAATCTGATTTGCTCCTAGGATGCAATGGCTCATGCTCTTCCTCTGGAGCTCCACGGTCTGAAAGTGCCAGGAGCACCTGATGCACACTGGCAATCTTTTTTTTTTCTGCCAGCTAGAAAATTCTGGTAAGGAGAGACTGATCAGAACATTTTCTATTGTTGCACTTCCGTGTTGAGAGCAGGTACAGGAGGTATTTGCTAATATTTTCCAATCCCTGGGCTGCAGGATTCCCAGCAAATGAATTCCCTGAGGAAACCGGTGAGAAGAAAGCTCGTGGCCTTCAGGGGAGGACCACGAGGGCTTTTACCCTCAGGACCTGCAGGGCTGGTCTTGGATGGGGTCACTGTTCCTGGGAAGCGAGGCTCTTGCTTGGGGGGCTGCTGGCACCTCTGCCTTTGCATCTGCAAATGCACAAGCATCATCAGAAAGGGGGGGATTCAGGATTAGCCAAGGGGAAAGATTATTGGTGAAAGGAAAAGACTGAGGTGGGAACTGACAAAGTGCTCAGAAAACCTCCCGATGGGAACCGTAAGCAACATTAGGTAGGTGTGAGGGGGTCAGGCCACACAGAGAGCTCTCCAGGAAAGCCCACCTTGCTGCAAGGAGGGGATAAAGCTCCGCAGTTTCCAAGCTATGACCTGGACACCACCGGTGCCTCCAGATCATCCACATTTCCCAGCCAGATCTGTCCTCTGCTGAGCGGCACGCTCCTCACACCCTGTCCTGGGCCAGCCTTCCCTGGGGTGCTCACAGCTACGGGCTGCCCCGTGCTAAAGAGGGGTGCGGACCAGCGCTGCCCTTCGCACTGGTGCAGTCCCCTGCACCCACAGCACCTGAGGGGCTGGTGTACCCCACCTGCCAGGAAGGCACGGGGCCAGACCCTCTGCTAGTGCCAGCTGGGCAGCTCCCCTGATTGCGATTAAACACCCAGCAATTCACCACAGAGAAGGAGCTTAACTCTGCTCAACGGAGGAGTTTTTGATTCCTCTCGCTAATACACCCAAGTGCCCGCACTGATCTTTCCGTTTGGGACCTTTGCAAAGTCCTGGCTCCCATTGCAGGCCAGATGACTAATGCTCTGCTTTCCCTTCACATGCACTTAATTAAGGCATTAGTCAAGGGAGACATCCCCTCTTCCTCACCTCATCCCCCGTTAAGGATTCAGCTGTTATTTTAGGGGAAAGGTGGTGTTCTGGAGATCTCATAGGACCCCCTAGGCATGCAGTGCCCTTTCCTCCCCTCACACAGAGCACATGGGAGCAGCAGAAAGGGAACGGCTCAGCCCTGCGAGGCTCCTGTGACAACCTGGAGCTCCTGGCGGAGGTAGGATACCACGGGGCATGACCAGACCACCGAGGCAGCTGCCCGGGGATGTGCTCGTGCCCAGGTGCAGCTCTGGGCATATTTGTACAAAAGCCACCAGGGGTGACTCCACTGAACCAGTGAAACTGGTGTTGGTGGGGCGGATCTTTCCCATGCTGAGATTTCTCTCTCTGCTGTTCAAAAATGATTTCATTTTGACTGCGAGCTTTAACGCCTGAGCAGCAGGGCCGGGCGATGCAGAAGCAGCTCCCCGGTGAGCCCTCCTCGCCAGGAGCAGCCCCCGCGGCTGGGGCAGGGGCGAGGAACCAGGAGGGTCCTTGCCGTACCCATCGTGCTGAATTGGGGATGGTCAGGAGGAGCAGCTGCTCTCGGGGGCATCACACGAGTAATCTGCAAAGTCATAGAGATTTGTGTGTTTTAAATGGGCCAGGAAGGAGCTGGGGAAGATTGGCAGCAAGGACAGAAATCTCTTACTGCCAGCTGGGGTGCGTGGTGATGTGTTTCGGTATTTATCAGGGTGTCTGAAATAACAAAGATTGCCCCGAGGAGACATAGCTCTGGGGAAGTGGTGCTTCAGGAGGTTACATCCACCCACCCCTCTGATTACCTCGAGAGCAAGCCTGGCTGCCCTTCCAAAGGCTGCGATTTGCTCATCCTCTCTGTCAGGGGTTGGGATGCAGCCATGACATTTAAAGGCAAAACCCAGTGAGGGAAGAAAAAGCAGGAAGGAAAATAAACTTTTGCAACTTCTACCTGTAATGGTTCTCTCTCTGACAAAGTGCCTGGCTCTGAGGAAGGCTATGGTCACTGGAGCCCAGGCAGGGAGGGATGGGCACCCAGCGCATCTCCCCTGTGCGCAGGGCAGCAGTGTGCCTGAGTGAGCAGGCACCAACAGGAGGTCCCCATCCCCGCCAGCCTGTGAGCCCCTGCAAGCCCTGGCCCCTCCATCCCCAGTGTGCTTGGGACAAAAGCGTGTGGATGTCCCCAAGCTGCAGACTTACTTTGGGGGGGGCTGCGGATGCGCTGGGCAGGGTGGTGGCTCCTGGTGCTCCCGGCTGCACAGGGTCCCCATCTTCCTGGCCACGTAGCAGCAGGCTGGTGGGAAAGGGGAGACTTGTCTGCTCACTGCAGCAATGCAAAACATCAGCTACCCCGAAAAACCCTCCCCAGAGAGCCCAGAGTGGGACCTTTTTGTGACCTGGGGATCCTCGCAGAGGAGAATCAGCTGGGGGTTGCTCTGGACCCGTGGCAGGTTATGGCCAAAAGTAACAGAGGAAATGGAGGGGGCTGGATTTAATGGGCTAAAAGGGAGTTAGTCTGGTGTCCTGGCTGTGTTTCAAATCACTCCAGCACCAGCCTTTCTCCTCCCACAAGCCAAGGCCATAAAATATGCAGAGTATTTACCATGCAGAAATCCCTCTAAGCTCTCCTGCCTCAAACGAGAAGTTTCCTTACCGTTGATAATTACTCAAACCATTTTCTCCCAGGCTCGGCAAAGCCGTCCTTCCCAGCCAGCCTGTCTCTTCCTCGCTCTCCTCTCGCAGTCAGCTCTGCAGTGGTTTTATTTTTTTACAGCCCAGCTTCCTCCTTCCCTCCCTCCCTGGGGGATGATGCTCTGGTAACACCCGGTCAGGTGCTGGAGGCAGGCTCAGCCCCGGGCAGGGCAGTGCCGGGTGTGGGAT